GATGAAATGTCATTATACACTTAGCTGTGCGCTGCAGAAGAGAAATGATTTGTCTAAATAGGCTGAGAAATTAACTCTGACATATTTTATGCAGCTTTCAGCAGTCTGTTTGTGTTAACCGGCCCGTGTGGGGATCAACCTCTCACCTATAGGAGGCAGAGGCGACGCAGCATGCTCTCCCACCTGGAGGAGGAGACAGGAAAAGCCTCTTTGGGGGAGAGATGGAGCGCCACAATGGGGCCAACGTTCCCCAGGGCAGCATTTTGTTTTTAAAGCTGTAATAAATCAGACAGGAAGTTGCAGCTACCTATATGCCTAGAACCTATTGCCACAGGAAGAATACGCCGCGCAAATAAGATCCATTAATGACCATAAAACAAGAACCACAGGGAATTTGTTCCCCTTGCTTTAGATTTGTTTCACTCAGGTTTTGGAGCTGCAGTAAAATTCTGCAGCAGAGCACAAACCTATAGCTCTGCGAGTTTGTTTTTGGTGTCTGCAGGAGCATGTTTTAGTGCACGCCTCATAGCGACTGGCCGCACCTTTATGAAAAGAGTATCCTGTGGCAGAGCATCCAGGTGGCTTTATTGTTTTATGCTGCAGGGGGAAGGGGATCTCACACTGGGGAGTAAAATATACAATCTTTAAAACACAAAATACTTTCTTCCAGCTGCTGCTGCAGAGTCAGGTGTCTGTGCATGCAAGTAAACCACTTAGTCTGCTCAAAGATTGAAGTGAGCGGTCTGTTCCTCTACCGAATGGAAGTTTCCTCTTGATTTCATCTAACTTCTTCCTCTCTGTGTTCGGTGTTTCATCACAGCTGTGAGCCTTGTCTCCTCGGGTTACATCTTCCCTACAGCTGATGGTCTGTGTCTCTTCTTTCATCACTTTGAGGGGAAATGCAATCACTCTTGGTATCTTGTCTTTAACTGGAAGATTGTGGAACGTGTCCTCAGTTCATCTGAACCTGTAATCTCAGGCTGGATTAGGATTCAGGAAGTGTCTCTGGATGATTCACTGGGATTGAGTGGTGTCAGCTGTTTGTAAATCCATAAATCTCTCGAAATTCATACATTTTAATAGAAACAAACCAAAAATATTGTGCTGGATCAACTAAACCAAAAAAATAAATAAATCAGATTTATTCTCAGTCAGTAAAGGCACCGTTTGCATGAACACTAATACAAGCTTCAATCAGGAAGTTTTTACTTCCAGAATCACAATTTCCCAAGATAATCAGAAATTGGACAATAAATCATATTTTGATCATTTTAGTTAAATGAATCAATCATAACGAAAACAACTGTCTCAAAACTAAAACTACAGGGTCTCCACTTTTCTGCTGTGTTTGTGAAGTCTCTAGTAGTTTATGCGGAATGAAAACTCCTCTATAGATGAGGAGAAAAGCTTTATCTGAAATTTAGAATCTGTTAGTCCAACAAAACTTTAGCATCAGATGAGGTTAGCTAAGCCTGCTCCAGGTGTACACGTTAGGTTGCGTCTGTGCAGCGTCTCCTGACTACCAGTTTGTTCAAATGGTTAAGTCATTTGAGCAGAAATCCCTTAAGTAGCCCTCTCCTCTCTCCCCATCTCATCAGCCTTCTTATTAAAGTTAGCTTTGTGAAACCACAGTGTTTAAC